GTTCAGCCATCTAGAAATCACTATGCTTATGATTTTGATATTTTTTTCTTCATTCTTTTTTTCGTTTGAGAAAACGAAGGTATACACTTTTTGTCTTCTTTTTTTCAACTAACATGCGGTTTAGGAAGCCTGTTTCAACATCTTTAAGGTTTGTACACACCATTTTTTTAATTCCTTTTTTTATTGAAGTGTAGTTGATATACAGTGTTAGTTTCATGTGTGCAGCAAAGCGAGTCAGTTATATGTATTTTTTCAGATTCTTTTCCATTACAGCTCATTACAAGAAATTGAGTATATTTCCCTGTGCTACGTAGTTGGTCCTTGCTGTTTATCTGTTTTATATATAGTAATGTATGTCTGTGAATCCCAAACTCTTAATGGATCCCTCCCCGTCTTCTCTCCTGGTAACCACAGCTTGTTTTTTATGTCCGTGAGTTTTATTTCTGATTTGTACACGCCATTTTTAATGGTTATATAATATTCTGTTTTACCATTGTATTATTTACTTTGCCCTCTTTGTTTGGACATCTGTACCATTTCTATTTTTGCTGTTAGTGCTAAAGTGAATGTCTTTGAACCAAATCTGTTCACATTCCTGATTATTACCTCAGGATAGATTCCCAGGAGAATTAATGAACAAAAGGTAAGATCAATGTAAAGCATCTTAACTGCCTGCTGCCAGGCTGTCCTCCAGATGGTTCTGTTTTACACTTCCCCCAGGAGCATGCAATATTGCAAACTAAGTACTTTTAATTAAATGGGTACCAAAATTAATTTTTATTTATAAAAGTCATAAATTTTAATCTTTGTAGCTGATGTGTGATTAACCTTGAAAACTGCATGATGATTAACAAATGCCGTTATACAACTAAATGAGTTACAAAGTAATCTACAACAGCAATAAAAGTTCAGCTGCACAAGGAGCGTTGGACTGAGTGCTGTGTGTCTAGTACCATGTAGAAGGCAAAGTCCAGGGCAGGGCTCCCACCCCCAAGAACCTTATCTTGTTGGGTTAATATAAGGGTTGCTGGTGACACAGAGCACGTATGTAATCAACAAATGGTGGTGTGCAGCCCGAATGAGTGTTCACGCCAGAGAGAGGTTTGGTACCACTTATCAGCTTCTCAAGCCTGTGTGCTGGGAGCTATCTGGTAACTGCGGGCCTGGCCCAGCCTCGGGTGTGGCTGGGGCTGCCTGGGATGTGGCCATCGTGAACTGAACTGCCTCCCCTATCCCAGTGCAGGCACGCGCGCCCACACCCATGAAGAGGGGCAGGAGTGTCTATCCCTTTGCCCTGAATTCCTCAGAAAATAAGGATTCAGCAAGTGATGAAGTTCTGTCTTTTGTTTTTTGAACTCTGAGTGAATTAAACTGATTCTTTCCTTAAAGGACAAGCCTGAACCGTTTTTCAGTCCCCATTGGTTTTATGTTTGGTGACAGAGCTCTCCGTTGTGTTCTGCCCTCCTTTCTCCAGGAATTCATACATCCAAGTTGCTTCCATTGCTTCAGTAGATACTTTTGAAGGGAAAAAGAGAAACTGGCATTGCTTAGCAACACACTTTATGCCAGGCACCGTGCCGGGTGAAGGACATTCTCTCAGTTGGAGGGGTCATTGTGAAAGCCACCTGGACCTTCAGCTTGCTTCGTTTATTCCGCAGCTTCCTATAAGCACACGCTCCGTGCTTGGCATGGAGGATACCAGACCCTCCCACCTGGGAGCTGAGCAGCTGATGCATTTGGCTGCACTCTCTGTTCTAGCCCTGATCACGCCAGCTGGGGGGTGCTGGCAGAGTGGCGGATGAAGCAGGATTCCTCACCCAGTCAGAGTGCAAGGAGGTATCAGGGAGTGGGGAGCAGGCTTGGCTCCTCCACCTGTGCTGCTGTGACCGTGGCTTCTGCAGTGAGAGCCTCGGGAAGGGCCGCCATCCTCCTCCTGCCCCTAGCACGCTTGCTGTTTCCTGACTGATTACTCGGTCCTTTGCAAACCACCCACGCTGGCGTCAGACTCCGGGTCCCCCTTACTATAAATTCTCTGCCCTTCAAGGCATTGTTCCTGGCTCTGCTTGCCCACAGCCAGAGTCCTTTTCCCTCAATACCTCTCACCCTAGCAAAGTGAGGGGAGTCACTTTGACCAGAATACCTAAGTGTTTAACCTCCCGGATTGCATTTATACTTTGGAAGAGGAGCTTAGTAGTAAATATTAATTTCTAATTGCCTATTTTTGAGCAGTCGGTTGCCTTTCTGAGTGTTCATGGCCTGCAACAAACATCTAAAGAGGGTTTGTCCTGCCACCTAGACTCTCCGACCCAAGCTCTGACAGATCAGAAAAGAGAGGCCAGTGGCTCAACCACCAAAGTCTAATGCCTTGCCTGGCTAGTTGGAGGATTTGGGGAAGAATTTTTAAAACTGCTCTGGCCTTAGCATTGCCTTCTTCTCTCTACCTGAGCCTCCGTTTCCTTTTCTGTCAAATGCAGCTTATGGGATTTTTGCAAAGATTCAAAGTGAGCTGAAAAGTCTGCACTAACACAAGGGGACTCCAGGCTGTGCGGGAGCCCAGCCTCCTCCTCCTGTCCAAAGGTGAGGTCTGGGCAGATTCTCAACTTGCAGACTTTGACCTAAACCGGATATGCTCAATTGTATCATTCTTAAACAGCTGGCTTTTGACAGAGTGAGAGGCAGCTTTAAATGGCCTGATTGGCCCAAATGTTTTGAACTCCAGGGATGTCAGGTCATTGTGTTCATTTTCAAAGAGGTGTTCGGTGTTCACTCCATATTTTTGTTTTAATAACTACTACTAAAAAACTTCCTCCCTGAGCTGATTTTCTAAACTCTGGAAACGTCTAATCCTAGAAGAGAATGAGGGCAGGGAAGCTTGGAGGGTAGTCAAACACTCCTTGCTGTGTGTGGCCACACAAGGTGGCCTGGGAGAGGCTGGCCTGGAGGTGATTCCAGTGTTCAGTCGTGAGGGTGGCCCTTCCCAATGTGTGTCTCCCTCCTGGAGGAGGAGACGGTGGGTGCCCCGGTAAAGGAGAAACGGATGAGAATTGTGAACCATGGTGGGGGGCAGGCAGGTTTTAGGACTTTGGCCTCAAATGTTATTTTGCAGACTTGAGGGAAACTTACTTTTAAAGAACTGAGTGGCTTATGAATGAATGAATGAATGAATGAGCGAGCTGCTTGCCAGCCCCACATTCCACATTGAGAAAGATGCTGTCATCCCAGTGTCAGTTCAGCTCTGAATTTTCAAGTGGGATTGCAAAGGGGACATTGGAACTGAATTGGAGTCTAAATTTGAATCCCAGCTCTGATACCTCCTCTTTTAGACCTTGGGAACATTACTGAACTTCTGGGCACTCTTCGGAAATAGTGATAGTACCATTTTGTTGGGTTGCTTGTGAGAATGCCTACAAAAAAATACTATATATATATATACTATCTCTTTATATATACACATATATATGTATATATATAAGCTTTTTCAGATTCCCTTCCATTATAGGCTATCACGAGGTATCGAATATAGTTCCCTGTACTGTACAGTACGACCTTGTTATTGGCTTTATATACAGTAGTGTGTATCTGTTAATCCCAAATTGCCAATTTATCCCTCTCCTCCCTTTCCTCTTTGGTAACCATAAATTTATTTTCTGTGTCTGTGAGTATATTTGTTTTGTAAATAAGTTCATTTGTAGATTTTTTTTAATTGCACATATAAGTGATATCATATGATACTTGTTCTCTTTGTGATTTACTTCCCTCAATATAGCTGCCAGCCTGTGGCAGCCGTGCACATGATGGGCCAGCAGCTAAGGATCTCTGGAAGCACTGGAGCTATTTCTCCATGTCCTGCCATAATCTGACCTTTTTAACACCTGCTCAGAGAGGTTGGAGGACAGCTCTAACTTACCTTGACGTTATTAGGGCTTCCTTCCACCCATTGCATTTTCCTCTTCTTGATACCCAGTCCCTCCCTTCCTTCCTTCCTTCCTTCTTTCCCTTCCTTCCGTCTTTCCTTCCTTTCTCTCTCTCTCCCCCCCTCCCCCTCCCTCTCTTTCTTCCTTTCTTTTTCTTTCTTTTCTTTCTTTCTTCCCTCCCTCCCTCCCTCCCACGGCAGGACAAGAGCTAAAAGAGCTGAAATTGCTGAATACTGAAAAATGCTGAGGTTAGCTTTTTCTCCAAACGTTTAATTATGAAACTTTTCAAACACGCAGAAAAGTTGAAAGAATTGTACTTTGAATGTCCACGTGGCTGCCACCCAGGTTCTATAATTAATATTTTGCTGTGAGTTTATATCATCATTTTGGATGCCTTTTAAAATAAGTTGCATTGCAGGCATCAGAACCTGTCATGGGGTTAGCCTGGAAGTGATTATTTGACGAACAACTTGGGTTCTCCGGGAGCTGCCCAGAGCCACGCTCTGCTTTCAGAGCACTAGAACTGATCCCTTCCCTACATGCGATATTTCTGCCACTGAACCAGCACATGCCCCTGGATCGAAGGGAGACCCTAAGGTTCCTGCTCACAGTGTCCCCCATGCCAAAAAAACAAACAAAAAACTTGGAATCACTGTGTGCTTAATACTTTATGTCCTGTTTCTCTTTCCCTCTCCATCTCTCTCTCTCATAATTTAATCAATTCTTTAGCATTTTGCCTCGTTAAATATTTTTTCAAATTGTGATGTTTTTAGTGGCCATACTCTTCTGTGATAGGATACTGCAACGGCATGGATAAATCTCACAAATGCAGTGGTGATCAAAAGAGCCCAGATACAGAAGAAAACATACGATATGATCGTCAACTTCTCTGTGTCTGTGTTGCAGACTTGAATGATTTTTTTAAATTTTGCTGTGTGGTGTACAGTGGTATTTCTAACTACCTCTTAGAACATCAGATCTCTCACATCTCTTTCTGATCTATCAGGATACATTTGCTGGTAACGAAGCATCACCCTCCTGAGGCCCCCTGCGGGGCGGTACCCTAACGTGTTCTTCCTTCCGCAGAGCCAGGATGGCTGTCCTCTCCAAGGAATACGGTTTCGTGATTCTGACGGGTGCTGCCAGCTTCATCCTGGTGGGGCACCTAGCCGTCAATGTTGCCAAGGCCCGCAAGAAGTACAAAGTGGAGGTGAGTGGGAACACGGCAGCGCCCTTGGAGGCCTGTCTGGGGCCAGAACTGGTTCCCAGTCATGGAGGGAGAGGTGAGGAGCTAGTGGGCAGTGGTGGCAGTTTCAGTTGAAAATTCTGCCCCTTTCTGTCAAGGAGGCAGCAACAAATATAGGGCCCTGCTGGGGAGTCATTTCCATCTTGTTCTACTTTTGTCTCTTCTGTAGAAGGACCAGGTGTGCTTTTGGCTGGCGCTATTTGCTAGGAACAGTGTTATTTCCTAAACAGCATTAAACAGCAATCGTTTCCTGGTTTGCCACTTTAAAATGATGTCTCCAGGGGATTTTCCTGTTTCCCAGGTAGAAAAGAAGTACGTGCTGCTGAGGTTAGCCTACGCTTGGACATCAGACATAGCAAGGGGTCTATTAAATGTTTCCTTTCATTCTAGCCCATCTAGAAGGGATAATTACTGAAATTGTCCATGGTGAGCAATTTTAAATGTCTACTTCTGTTTAGCAACTATCAATTAGGCTCCCTAAGTAGAGCTCCTTATAAAGTTTTTATATCTAGTCTCTTGTTTAAGAGACACATCCATTAAAATTCTTACACACTCAATTTCTGTTCTCCCATTAAGGGAAATCTTAAAAGGACGTGGTATTTGATGGCTCTTGGGAAGGAGCTGTTTCCCTATGGTATCTTTGTAATGCACCCCAAAGCCACCAGCGATGGCATAACGTCAATGAAAAGCACTGAGTTTGGCACAGGCTACCTCCATCCCTTGTAAGGCACAGACTACATTCTTGTTACTGGATATTAATAGACACAGACTGAATCTGCCTCTGAGAGTGGAGACCTTTGTCACCACAAGTATTTAAGCAGAAATGGAATGATCCTCTATCGACGTGATGACAGAAGATGCTTTGGGATAGATTAGCTATAAGGTTGATTTTAACTCTCCACACCAGAGGCCACGCCTGACCCCTTTGATCACATGCACTTTGTTTTAACAGTATCCTACCATGTACAGCACGGACCCAGAAAACGGACACCTCTTCAACTGCATTCAGCGCGCCCACCAGAACACGTGAGTGCTGGCCCTGCCGGGCACCAAAGACGTCTGCAGGAGGGGCGTTTTCTGTCCAACATCTCAACCCTTGGTTCTCTATCTGCTCAGTAATAGCGATGATGACAATCATGGACACACATTAAAAGTAACATTAAAAAATACGTATGTGAAAATAGAACAGGTAAAAACAGATTTAAAAAAAAAACGTATGTGAACAGATTAAATATTAAGCAAAATTAAAAGTTGTTAGGATCCTGGATAATCTTTTCAAAAATGTCTTTAATGTCACATTATTCTGCTGTAGCACATGTCCCCTCTAAACTGGTACCGAATCTGCCAGCTTAGTGGGTGAGAGGCTTTGAGCTCTGGAAGGAAATCTACTCCAATTCGCCAAGACCTTCCTCCTCAGTTTGTTAGACTTGATGTCTTTGACCCATTGCGTTCTGAGTTACCTCTGATCCTAAGCAGAGCAGAAGATGGCTCTCAGTGGCTGGGGCTTTTCCCTCCAGACACTGTTTATTTTTACTCTCAGAGTTCTAAGTTGGCAAGTAAGAATGTCAAGGTTCTTAGTTTTATAGAGATGTACTTAAATAGGGCACTTTAAAACAAACAAACAAACAAAACATTTCTCTCTGTTCCAGGCTGGAAATATATCCTCCCTTCTTATTTTTTCTAGCTGTTGGAGGTGTTTACCATCCGGTGAGTTTTTCCAGTGGGCAGGGGAATGGTTCCTCTAATTGGATTTAATTCACTGTGTCATCAGGGAGGGAAGAGGAAATGCACATTTAATGAACATCTTCAATGTCTAGGCGCCAAATATTTAAAAGAATTTCATTCAGTTACTTCTTACAAAAATCCTCAAAGTAGGTAGGATCTTCCCTGTTCTTTTGCAAATGAAGAGAAGCTGCTTGGATACATGTAATCTTCTCAAGGTCAAATAGCTACAGAATAGAAGAATCAGAACTTGAACTCAGGTCTGTCAGATCCTAGACGGTTCATGTCCATCGAGTTTTCCTTTCCCGTATTTATTCATGCAGCAAACACTTACTGGACACCTGAGGTTATCGCAGCGGACAGACAGGCAGAGACTCCCGCTTCGTGGAGCTGACTTTTATTTGGGGGTCACAGACAAAAAGCAGTGCAGGGACATTATGTAGCATGTTTGAAGGTGCCACGTGCCACGGGGGAAACAAAAGAGAGTGTGGGGGGGGGCGGGGTGGACAGAGTTGAGTGGGATAGTCAGGAGGGCCTTGCTGAGAAGGGGACAGTTAAGCAGGAACGTAAGGGAGCAGGTGCCCCTGATGTTTCCGGACGTCTCCGGGCAGAAGACAAGCAAGGGCGAGGCCCTGAGGCCGGAGTCTGCCTGGTCTGTTGGGTGCACAGTGAGCAGCGTGGCTTCAGTGGTGAGCAGGAGGTGAGGGTCCTGTAGCTCGCTGTGGCCCTCCTGGGCCTTCTGGGTCTGCATTTCACCTTATCTAAATAAAGCAAGTTTACCTGAGCCTGACTGGTCGCCATTCACGTCTTGCCTTGGACAGAAGGTGTTTCCTTTTCAGAGGCTGGATTTCCCCCTTCGTTGAGTTCTGACCAAGTGCTGGGCCTTCACATTTCTGGTTCTGAGACTCTCATAAGCCTCTGGCCTCTCCCTGAACGGCCTTGGGATTTTGTCGTCAGCTGCCAGAATGGTCCAGCTATAGTTCATGACCTTGAGATCTGGTTTTTTTTGTTTTTGTTTTTTTTCCAAAGAGACATCTGCTGCTCTCTTGGAGAAGCTGTTTCTTTCTTTTGCCTCTAAAGAGCCCCAGTCCTAGCAAGTGACTAGAGTAGCTGGTCTAAACAGACTAGCTGGTCTCCCTAGATTAGGCATCACCTCGTTACCGAGTCCAAACTCATTCTGCTGGCTGCACGACAGGCCAGTAAATCGGGAGACAGAGGTGTTGGGGCAAGGAATAATGACTTTACTCAGAAAGCTGGCAGACTGAGAAGATGGGGGACTAATGTCCTGGAGAACCGTTTTCCCCAAATCAGAATTCAGGCTCCTTTTATACTAAAAAGGGGAGGGGGCTGGTTGGTTTTTGCAGACTTCTTCCTGTGGGAAGCCTTTGTTCTTACAGCCGTCCTCTAGGCCAGGTCATGATGTTCCTGTAAACCTCCAACAAGACAAATGTTATTGTCTGTTCTGCAACTTTTTATCTCTA